ATATATTTTTTTTTTTTAAATTTAAAATATGATGTTTTATTAAATAAAAATAATTTATTTCTTGGAAGTATAGCCTCAATATTTTATGACATTCTGCTTTGTGATGCATTTTATAATAATTTTTCATATAAATAATTAGAATACTTTTTAAAATGTTAAACTAATAAGAAAAATTTTAGAAGTTAGCATGTAATTTAAAGTTTGTATGCTGTAACTGTCAGTAAGAAAATAAATGTCTGTGTTAATTGTTGAAACATTAAAATTAAAAGAAAGATACACAATGTAATGGTTTACTGTGTATGATATGATTTTAAGTGATTTTAAAATAACATGGTCTTAAAATGCAAAAGAATCATAAATAAATCTTATTGCACATGTAAAAATTAAAATTAGTGCACTATATAAATTAATGCAAAATTTTAAAAACTCATAGAAAATTGTTAACTGAGTAATTTAAAACCACTGTATTGTGAGTAAATAATGATTAGAACAACAATTAACATTTAAAGCACTGGTTAACAGTGATAACAATTGTACAAAATTAACCACATTTTGAGGAAAATAGGGCAAAAAAACAGCTTTTCCCTCCTATTTACCTGATGAGAATTGTGCTATAGAAGCACAATGTAGAGAATAGTGACATATTGCAGTCGACCTCCAGAGAGGAGATGACACACAGGATGGATGAGGATGGACCTGATGACAATTGTAACTGTAACCAAACTCTGATTACAATATGCAAAATTTTATAATTGCATTCAGCTTAAATTTTGAGTCTTGCTAATTCTGATAAATTAAACAAATGATTACAATATTCATGAATACAATAAGTGGATTTTATTGTATTTAGAAGATGACTTTTATATGTTCTCTAAGAACAATTCTGTTTGAAGAGAAGTTATATACTGTCAAAAGTACTCAAAAAATAAATTATTTTTACGTAATGCCGACAGACAGTAGTATACGTTATATTTTTCTATTAATTAATATTTGGCATGTATAGTTATTTGAAACTGACTTTTACATAAATTTGAAACTAAAACTTTTAAAAGTTTTATCCTGCTTTGAGTTGCCTATAAAGTTTGTCATTTTTATTAGAGACACTGTCTCTTGGCCTCATTTTGATACAACAGAATCTGAAAATAGCTTGACTTTATTTAATAGAAATTTTGTCATTATATTGGGTTGTTCGGAAAGTAAATTCGTTTTTTTCTGTGGAAAAAACGCAATATTTTTTTAATAAATAAATATTTTATTGAATTATATATTGACCATTTTGGTAAAATACCTGTTGTCATCGTTTCTGGTAGTAGCATGATTTCACATTCATAAAAGTTTTGATCGTTGCTTACAAAAAACTGATTCAAGTGATTTTTGACATTGTCATTTCAAGTAAATGTCTTACAGTTAAAAAAAATTTGTATAGACCGGAACAAGTAATAATCTGAGTGTGCTTGATCTGGCGAATATGGTTGGTGTGATAGCAGGTCCCATCTAAGTTATAACAGTTTCTGACCAGTCACCAAACTTGTGTGAAATTTGACATTATCGTGGTAAAACACTACCCCTGTTTTGTTGATCAATTCTGACCGCCTTTTCTGTTTGATGATATTACTCAATTTGTTTACTCGATGGCAGTACACTTTCAAATCAATTGTTAAATTGTCTGGTAAAAACTCAAAAAAAAATTTTCTTAAAAATCCCACCAAAGAGAGCATCTCTCTTTAGGAACATG